TTGTTTCCCTTTAATTCACAAATCAAATGCTCAGAATCTTACACTCCCATTATGCAAACTCCTATCTACATTTCTCTTATTATTATTATTATTATTATTATTATTTTATTTATATAGCGCCATCAGATTCTGTAGCGCTGTACAATGGGTGGACTAACAGACATGTAATGGTAACCAGACAACTGGATGTACAGGAACAGAGAGGTGGAGCTTACATTCTAGAGGGAGTGGGGTATAGTGACACAAAGGGTAAAAGTAAGGGTACGAAGTAGGTTGTTAGAAAAGTATTCACTGAGGGCTTAGTAGGTAATTTTCTGACAGTTGCAGGAGAGGAGTCATGGGGGATGGGAGATAAAAACCTGCTAACCGTTTAATTGATATGCTTTCTTGAAGAAGTGAATTTTCAATGATTTTTTGAATTTGACAATTTTTATTCTGTTTCCAAAAAAAAGATGGGGATGGGGTACAGAAGGGAAGAGGGGGGAGAAATTGCCTGATACAATTTGGTACAAGTTTCACAATACATTACAAGGTTTTACAATACATTCAGTTTCCATACATTGGGTATCTCATATTCATAACTATGCAGGTCCACACTTGTATGCTTAACCATCCAGTAGTAGTGGTCTTGACCTAATGCTCTCAACCCTTTGGAGTCATTTAGCGAGTGCTACCTATGTAGGTGCGGCAATGGTGGATATGGTTGGTATTGGGGTGGGTATGGTTCAAGCTGTTATCTTTTGTTTATGGTTGCCTAGTAGGATGTGGTGAATGGGGGAAGGAAGGATCAGGAAAGGCATGAGCAGGGGTAAAGGGGTGTGCTGCGAGTATAGCCCCTGTGTGTGGCTTTTCTCTATTTCGGTCATAGGTAAAATTCAGTTTTAGGGTTGTCAATTCTGTGTGTGGAATGTTTATTCCTAATGCTAGGGTTTTTGTGATATTTAATTTGTAGTAGGAACAGTTACCGTAGGGAGAGGATTTTGTGAAAGTTTGGCAGTGACACGCTTGGTTGTTCAAGGGTTAGGAGGATGTCATCTGCGAATAGGGACATTTTGTATTCCCGTCCTCTTACTGTGATGCCATGTATGTCTGGGTGTTCGCGGATGAGATGGGTGAGGGGTTCCAGCGCCAGAATGTAGAGCAGTGGGGAAAGTAGGCATCCCTGTCTAGAGCCATTAGAGATGGTGAATGGTTTTGATATGAATCCCCCGTTCACTACCCGGGCAGTTGGTGAAGAGTACAGTGCTTTGATTAACAATAGGAACTGGTCTGGGAAGTCGAATTTCTGTAAAACTGCTAGTAAGCAGGGCCAGTGTAGCCTATCAAAGGCCTTTTCTGCGTCCAGTGATAGCAGGACCCCATGTTTTTTTTTTTTTTGCATCTCGTAAAGCAGGTTTAGGGTCTTTCTTGTGCCATCTGCTCCCTGTCTTCCCCCTACGAACCCTACCTGATCTCTTCCTATAATTGTGGGGATTATGTGTGTTAGTCTGTTAGAGAAAATTTTTGCCAATATCTTTATGTCTGTGTTCAATAGGGAGATGGGCCTTAGATTCTGGCACTTGTTCGGTGGTTTTCCTGGTTTGGGAAGGGTGGCGACGTGTGCCATAAGCATCTCTGTCGGTAGTGTCCCTGTTTGTAGTGTGTGTTGGAAAACTCTTTGTAGATAGGGGGCTATGTTAGGGGCAAAGCGTTTATAGTATAGGTTAGTCAGTCCGTCTGGGCCTGGTGACTTCCCTTTCGGGAGGGAGTTAATGGTGTCTATTATTTCATCTATTGTTATGGGATTTTTGAGAGTTTTTTGTTGTTCGTCCGTAAGTGTGGGTAGTTGGACAGAGGTGAGAAATTCATCTATCTCTTGTGCCTTGGGTTGGTGAAGTGTCTGGTCCGTGTTGAGGTTATAGAGAGAGTGATAGTAGTCTGCCATACTGTCGTTTATGTCTTGTGGGTTGTGGAGTTTGTCTCCCGCGTTGGTAATCAGGAATGGAATTTTGGAGTTTGCCTGTTTCTGCCTGAGTACGTTAGCTAGATGTTTTCCTGCCCTGTTGCCTTGGGTGTAGGAGTTCAATTTAAATTTCGTGAGGATGTAGGTCGTCTTTTCGAGCGCCTTGGTGTTGAGTTGGTTGGTGAGATCCTTGATGGCTTCTGCATATGCATCTGTTGGGTTCAGGAGGTGAGCCGTTGTAGTGTCTCTCAGTTTTCTGAGTAGGTCCATATATGATTTGTTGCGCTGGCGGTGGAGATATGAGGCTCGGCTGATCAGCTGACCCCTTAGGACCGTTTTATGAGCTTGCCAAATAGAAAGTATTGAGGCTTCTGGATTGTCGTTCAGCTGAAAGTAATTTCCTAAGTCTTCCGCCAGTTTTGTTACGTAAGATTTGTCATATAGAAGTGTGTTGTTAAGACGCCACGGTGGTTTCCCTCTGTGTTGGTATTGGTTGTGCATTAATAAGGTCACTGGCGCATGATCTGACCACACTATGCTTCCAATGTTACATTCTTCCACCTGTGGGAGCAATGTGCCCGATATGAGTATATGGTCAATTCTGGAATAGGTTTTGTGTGTCTGCGATAGGAATGTGTATTTTCTTGCTGAGGGGTGCGTTGTTCTCCATACGTCATATAGGCCATATTCTTGAATGAGCTTTACTAGTGCTTTGTTTGCATTTTTCAGTTTAACATGTCTGATGGAGTCGCTAGGCGTCGTCGAGTCTATGCGTGAGTCCATGGTGTGGTTGAGGTCTCCACATATAACCATGGGGGTTGTCGCCTCTGTTGGTATTTTTCGAAGTACTTTGTGCAGAAAGTTGCGCTGTTGGTCATTTGGGCCATAAAGACATACTAATGTAATTGGGTTATTGTTAATTATGCATTGCAGGATCACGTATCTGCCTTGGCTGTCCTTCTTGACCCGCAGTGTCTCTACTGTGAGGGAGTTGTGTAGGAGAATAGAAACTCCTTTGGATTTCGAAGTGTGTGTTGCGTGATATTGCAGAGGGTAGTCTCTTGTAGCAAACGTGGGAATGTGGTTTGTGACAAAGTGAGTTTCTTGCACACAGACTATGTCTGCTTTGATTCGCTTTAGATCATCCAAGAGTAATCGCCTTTTATGTGGGGTGTTTTGGCCTTTAGTATTGTGTGAGTAGATGATCATGGTGTTGGTAGCGTGTGTGGTGTGTTACGTTGGTAGGGGTGTCGTTCCGTCGGTATAGGCGGAACTGATCTCCAGGTATCGTTTATCAGCTGGAGGGGGGGGGAGCCTGGGGGGTAGGTAGGGGTGTTTAGGGGGTATTTACAGGTGACCTGTAGGCCTGGCACTTTAGTTGTACCGTGGGGGTTTGGAATTAGATTTCCAATTGGGTGGCTAATAGGGCTCCAATGGGGAGAACTGTTTGGAGCTGAAACCGTTGTCTTAGATAGGAACATAAACATTTGTAACAATTTCAAACATAGGTCAGTACTTTTCGATTGTAGGAGGCCTGCAAGTAACAACTAGACATACATACATTGCTGTACTGGTGATTTAACCTTTTCTATCATAGCATCTTACATTTTTATTATAGAAAGCAATTCCAAGTACTGTGTATCTATTATTGACATTTGGAAACCTTTTCCATAAAGTACATTTTGGTATATACTATACTTTGATTGCCTTCAGCAGTTTTTGAAGGCGCATACACCGTGCCTGGGTGCGGTACATTATACAGTTAGGATACTTAATTACACTGCATCCTAGGGAACAGTATCAAACACTACTCCCTTAAGCCATATGGTTGGTATCTTTCACTGTGGAGTGTAGTACCTGTTGTGTACTTTATCTATGCTGCCTACGGCAGATGTAAGGGCGGCACACCGCACACAATTGCTGCAGCCTGTCTTGAAACGCTTGAGTTGTGGCATTGGCGTACTTCAGCGTGGTCACACCCATGGCCATACCAGGTGGGCTAATCCCCTGAGCAGACACACTACCCTATTGTGACCTCCCAGTTATCATGCATTTTGCGTGGAACGCTTCCTGACCGCTACTATGATTGCGGGTTATGTGGTAGCTCCCCGCGGTGTGGTGTCCTTGCTTTTCTGTAGTGTGTATGGCCATGTGCTCCCAGTTGTTTTAGTACACTTAATGGTGTTATATTGCCTCGAGGGTAAGTCTGGCAGGGTGAGATAAGTGCCTGGAGGTTGCGTGTGGGGCCATATATGTGAGAGCCATGCTCTGCTACCTTCGGGGGCGGTTAGTTTAGCGGGTGGTGCTGACAGGGTATTCTTGGTGTACGTGGGAATCCGCCTTCGTCGTTCCTCCCCACTGTGAGCTATGCGGTGGTGTTTGCGTGTCAATGACCTAAGCGAGCCTGGGCATCCATGCATTTTATGTGGGCAGTTTGTCAAAGGGGTCTCAGTGTACCCTGCCCTGTCAGTCTCGTGTAAGGTGTCAGCCAAACATGCATAGTCATTTCGGTCCTTCCCCCATCCTGTGGAAGCCAAATTAGAGTGTTGTGGATCTCGTTTAGTGGGTGCTCGAGGAGAGGGCTGCATACTTAAACTGTGGGACGGCTGGTGACATGTGGTGAAGGTGGCATGTTCAAGTCTAGGATCACCAAATGTAACCCACCGAGGGAGTGTGCACCTGAACGGACAAGTAGTGTCAGGGGTGGTATTTACGTTAGCTATGATAACAGGAGTGCTTGCGATGTAACTGGCTGGTGAATGTTTAAACCGCATCAGCCTAGGGGGAGGCTTCTGAAGCGCCTATGTGTTCAAGTGTAGGCCTTTGCCTTTTAGCAGAGCACGTTATGTATGAGGTACGTGAGATACTGACATTGTGCCTACGCCTCTGTTGAGCCCTGGGGCTACTTTGGCCCATGTATGGGTCATATATATGTTTTATTGCATGTACAGTTATACAACAACAATATGTTTTATTGCATGTACAGTTATACAACAACAATATGCAGTTCAGTCATACTTGCAGTGAGCATTCCTCAGATATCTGGTTAGTCCGTTGTTTAGTCCATATTCGTTCTGCGGCTTGCCCTGGGGGATTCAGGCCTTGCCCCCATGGTGGGGTTATGATCTAAGCCCCAGCTGGCGAGCATTTTCTTTCCTTCCTCCGGAGTCGAGATCTGCACGGTTTTCCCGTTCTTGGTGAGTATAATCTTCGTGGGGAAACCCCACCTGTATCTTATTCCGTGGGTGCGCAGCTCCGTGGTGGTGTGGAGAAATTCCTGTCTACGCCTGAGGGTGGCCGTGGAGATATCCGCCATAATACGTACGGTAGAGTAATCTTCGTGGGGGTCAGCTTTGCTGTGGTGCGTCCGGAGGATAAGCTCTTTTATGTGGTAAAAATGGACCCTCAGTAGGACGTCGCGGGGTACGGAGTCAGGTATTTGTTTTGGCTTAGCCACCTGATGGACTCTGTCCACGAGGAGCATATCCGTCGGAATGTCCGGAGCGTAGGCGCGGAGTAGGCCCTGTACATAGATTGGCAGGTCATCCGGGAGGATGGTCTCCGGCACACCTCGCAGTCTCAAATTATTACGCCGAGCTCTGTCTTCTTGGTCCACTACTCGGGCTTCCATGTGTTCCATTTGACATTGCAGGGCCTTTAGTTGTTGAGTCAAGTCCCCTTGCGCCGATGATAGTTCTTCATAATGTTGCTCCACGGAGGTGGTCCTTGCAGAAAGGTCCATCACCTCTCTCTTAATCTGTTCCGTGGTTGTTTGCCATGTGCTTATTAATTTCTTTGCCATGCCCTCCATGGATTTTTCAAAGAATCCTTTTGTGAGGTATTCTGCAGGTTGGGATGTTTCTTGGTCTGTGTGCGGCATCGTGGTGTCGGAGTCTTCCGCGCCATCTTGTGCAGCCGCCCGTGTAGTTTCACTTGCAGGCTGCGATTTTTGTCCGAAGAAGCTCATTTTTTCTGCTTTAGTAGCAAATTTCTTCGTTTTAGCGGTTGCCATCGTTTTGGTTAGTTTCTGAACGGTTTTGATACCGGAGAAACTGACGGAAGCAAAGCACAGAGGGATGGACACAGGTTTCTTCAGGAAGGAAGAGATTCTTTATTGGATCACCGATCGGGACTCAGAGGGACTAATGTCACCAAAAATACAGCAAGTTCTGAGCCCTGAACAATAGTGCAGGCTCCCTATATAGGCACATAACTCCTCCCATATTAAGCTCCACCCGCACATTCTCTTGACCAATCATTACAAATAAGAATTAACTTCCTGCTTGACCGCATGGCTTGTCCAGCACAATGGAGGAGGGGAATACTACATCCTGTATTCTTGCACATGCTCCGTACACTACTGATCGTATCTTGCCTCGTGCAACCAACTGATCGATACGTCAGCATATGCACGTACACATGCCACGTGGTAATCTCGGCCTACTAAATTTATTTTTACCGAGATTCCACCACATTCCCCCCTTTGATGCCTCTTGATATTTTACAATTACTTGAGGCATCACTTAACCTTGGTTTGCATACACCACAAGTTACCTTTGAACCAGACCAGACTTATCCTACGATGTGAATCTTCAACACTCGTCTTCCTGCATTGGTTCTCCCTGATCTAGAGCCTTATATTTATAAATTGCCATTATCTGTGCAGCAGCCTTCCTCTCTGCTATATTTTCTATCAGGCTTTGCACAGACCTAACTACTAAGGGTATAAGACACGGCAGGAGTAGACACAACATTAAAATCAGTAGGACTCCACCTACCACTGCCTTAAGCCCTCCAAACCACTCATACCAGCTACCAAACCAACTACTTGGATTGTACCCTTTCCATACCTGAGTAGGCACATGCGCTAGTTTAACCATATGGCTAGTAAGCTCAGCTATTGCTTGCCCTTCGTCATCTATTTGAAGACAGCAATTGCTCAGGTTAAACTTCCCACATACACCTCCCTCTACTGCCAAAAGATAATCCAAGGCTAATCTATTTTGGTAAACTGCTGTCCTCATCCTGGTATTATGCTTCGCTAGAAGATTGAGCGCTTGTGATGTCTCGTTAGTAATGATCTCAACCACCGCCTGTAACCTTATAATGCGGTTGAGCATATAAATAGGGGTTCTATAACCAAAGGTACCATCCTCTGCCCACGTGGCTGGCCCATAATAATCTATAATACGCTGGGGAGGCCATTCATTATCTTCCCAGGCACCTATCTCTATGGGTCCCCTTTTCTTCCTATGATTCACATCATACACTTTAACACCTAAAGTCTCACCTGTTTCAATAGGCAACAAGAAGAAGGATGGTTTCAACATACCCAACACACATGCCCCTTCCCAGTCCTGTGGTAACTCCGAATAGGCCTTCTTACCACAGATCCAGTACAAATTCGCTGGGGCTCTCCAGTTAGATGTGATGGATAGATCAAACCATACGTCCTTTAAATTGGCATATCTTGCAAACGGGTTAGATGGTTCTGAGACATTTGAAGCCGACCACCAAGTTGTATTCTTTGTATCATCATCATAAGCTTTTTGCCCTAGACAAGTTAATTCTCCTACAGAAGTATTATACATCATTCCTTTCCTCGCTATGCAAACATAACCTATGATGGAGGTCTTCAATCTCCACTCAGATTTACCTCTAACACTCATATGATAGTCGGCTTGTGTAGATATTAATTGGTCAACTGCCTCAGAACCGGACATTACCTCCTTTGCTTCCCAAGGCCATTGGTCTCCCATGTTAGTACCTCCACACACATAGCAGTTGGTAACATTAAGACTACCGGCAATACTCTCGGCTAAATCAATGAACAAGTTTTTAGCATTATGGGGGATCTTATTATCTATGCTCATCTCTTCATAAAAGGAATGGTATACTTGATGAGTTTGGGAGGTTACCGTATCAGTCTCTATCCCTATAAACAATATTGTCCCAGGGTCTAAACCCGTCCCATATATTTGAAACCCAAATAAATTACCATATTTATCTAAGAACTTGTCAGGGTTATTTATAAGTATATGGATTGGATTGCATTCCATAGACTTACAATATGGATTAGTAGGCAACTTAGTCACAATCATGTCCTTGTCTGCTGTCTGTCCCCAAGTCGCCCACCCCACACAAGACCAATATGGGCAGAAGTTATAATCTCTATTTGGGCATCTTGGACTTACATATTTATTTTTACTACTGGGACAAATATATTTATCATTAGACCCATACGTCCTCTCCCATCTAAGATCCCCACATACATTCCACGGCTTTCTACCACTTGATATTGCTTTACACGCATCAAATAGCAGAGCACCTGAAGAATATACGGATTTTAATACCGTCTTATTAATTAGGGTCCCCTGAGAATCTCCATTTCTGAGAGTCAACCAAATTGTACGGGGTTGATACTCAGGACTGAAGCACTTAGGTTCTCCTACTCCTAAATGACACACACTATATTCTATATTTAAGTATCTACATCTTGATACATCTCCTTTACACTCATATTGCGAATGCCAAATTAGGGTCTGGGATATATGGTTACCTGTTCTTGTAGTCTTAATGCATACCTCACAGCTAGGAGTGTTGGTACCTCTACCTTCCTGAATATAAAAATACACATAAATAAACATTATTAAAAATACATCTTTCGTCGTCATCCTCAGTCTTCGTCCGTGTGAAGGCACCTCAGCTTCCAGGATGTAAGGACTGCAGGGAATGGAGTTCTGCTCGTCTTCACAGGGGTCCCCTCAAGACTTTCCCTGACTTATACACTCGTTGGTGAGTGGACAGGCTTTATTATGGCCTTCTCACTCACTTACCAAGTCTCTGAAACAATAAAATTTGTAATCTACAAGGTTCCTCGTCACTCCGACTGAGTCGTGCGTTTTAACCGGATCTTGCAGGGATTCTCTGGATTTGCTGTAACTTGCCAGGAATCGGCTGCTGCTGGTTTAACCCTGGAGTGATGTATCCACGGAGCCACTTCGGCTACTTTTATCGCTGTAGGGGTAGACAGAAGAACAACATAAGGACCTCTCCACTTGGGCCCTAACGGCACATTATTCCACTCTTTAATCCACACTTGGTCGCCTGGGTGGTAACTATGAATTGGGGGATAAATATTCACAGGTAATCTATCTTGTACCCATTTCTGTACCTCCTCCATAGTCTTACCCAACTCTACAACCTGCTGCCGGGTAATTCCTTCTCCCAACTGACTCAAATCCCCCCTTAAGTTACCAAGCACGGGAGGTGGTCGCCCGTACATGATTTCAAAAGGAGAGAGGCCCATCCTTCTGGTAGGTGTACTACGGATTCGCAATAGAGCTATGGGCAAGAGAACGTTCCACTTAAGTTGGGTTTCCTGACACATTTTAGCCAACTGATTCTTAATAGTTCTATTCATTCTCTCTACCTTACCAGAACTCTGGGGTCTATATGCCGTATGAAGCCTCCACTTTATACCAAGCATATGAGTCAATTGTTGTAGGCACTGATGAACAAAAGCTGGACCATTGTCCTATCCTATAGAGCAGGGTAGTCCATATCGGGGTATTATTTCTCGTAGCAGGAATCTCACGACTTCTCCTGCTTTCTCTGTACGAGTAGGACATGCTTCTACCCAGCCTGAATAGGTGCACACCACTAACAGAAGGTAGCGATGTCCACCCGATTTAGGCATCACTGTATAGTCAATTTGTAAATCGGACATGGGAAGTCCCCCCATAAACTGGACTCCTGGTGGCTTTACTGGTCCTTGTCTTGCATTATTTTTAGCACACGTTACACATCTACGTACAATGGCCCGAGTCAAGTTGGACAATCTTGGTATGTAGAAATGTTTTCTGAGAGATTCTTCTGTACTGTCTCTCCCAGAATGTGTCCCGTTATGATAGTTTTGGACAATTTCTACCGCTAGTGATGCTGGAATAACTATTCTTCCATCTTCTAATTGATACCATTTGTTCTCCAAATACTTTCCAGGTTCAGTCCTTAACCACTCCTCTTCTTGAGCTGTATAAATTGGAGTCCATTGAGACAGTGGAGTTGGTATAAGAGCAGCTATATGCCCCACATATTCCTGTCTTCCTGATTCAGCAGCACGCTTAGCTGCACTATCTGCCATCCCATTCCCTTTGGTTACATCACCATCTCCTCTCAGATGCGCCCGACAATGTATAATACCGACTTCTTTCGGCTCCCACACTGCTTCCAATAGTTGTAGGATCTCAGCTGCGTATTTGATTTCTTTGCCTTCTGAATTCAATAGTCCTCTTTCTTTATACAAAGCTCCGCGGGCATGAGTGGTTAAAAACGCATACTTGGAGTCCGTGTAGATGTTCACTCTTAAACCTTCAGCCAATTGTAACGCTCGTGTCAGTGCTATCAATTCTGCCTTTTGTGCTGATGTTCCTTTTGCCAGTGGCCGAGCTTCTATCACCTTGTCTATCGTTGTTACTGCATATCCTGCATAGCGGATCCCTTCTTTTACATAACTACTGCCGTCGGTGTAATATTGAACATCAGGGTTCTGGATGGGAAAATCACGAATATCTGGTCTACTTGAAAATACTTCATCCATTACTTCCAAACAATCATGTTGACTTTCAGTAGGTTGTGGCAAAAGGGTAGCTGGATTTAAGGTATTTACAGTCTCTAAATACACTCTTGGGTTTTCACACAACATTGCTTGATACTTGGTCATACGGCTGTTACTAAACCAATGATTTCCTTTGTAATCCAACAACGTCTGTACTGCATGTGGAACTCGTACATAAAGTTCTTGACCCAGAGTGAGTTTATCGGCTTCAGCTACTAGCAGGGCGGCTGCAGCTACAGCTCTTAGACAAGGTGGAAGTCCGCTGGCCACTGCATCCAGTTGCTTAGACATGTAGGCAACAGGTCTTTGCCATGATCCCAAGTACTGTGTCAATACTCCCACAGCCATTCTTCTTTGCTCATGTACATACAGGTAGAATGGCCGTGTGTGGTCAG